AGGAATGCCTATTTCTGGGAATTCCTTGTAAATCCCTAGCAGTGCTGAGGCAGGTAGTAAATGCCATCTGTTGTAGCAATCGTTTTCAGCTTTGTGGATGAAAGTATGTCTCCGTCCTCCCCTCTCCTGCACGTGCTTATACTTTAAATCTAGGATTTCCACCCTGTGCCCTCGGCTGCTTCAGCTGCCCTGCCCTGCAGCTGTACAACTTCGAGGCAGGGAGGCCAGGACCGCAGCTGTACCTGGCTACATCCCAGCGTAAGTATTTGCATATAAGCAAAGTCAGAGATGTTACCGGTACCGCTTGTATCAGATGCAGGTGTATTTCTTTGAAGTTGTTTATGTACTACCATCTGCAGCAGTACCATCTCCTCTGCCATATTAGGCCATCTAGTTCATCCTCTCCAAAGTGTTCGTACTCATTACTGTGCTCGTCTGGTTTTCCCTAATTGAACTTAGACTTTCGCAGGGAGATCTTGCAGCATTGACACTGAATGACTAGTAATTTGGAACTCGCCCCTTCCAAGTGCTGTTCAAATATACTTACTTTGCACAAAATCCTTTTGGTGCAATAAGTAATTGCCATTTAAGGGATGCCTTAACTTGCCCAGGATGGCAAAGGATAAGTTTCTTAAACCACAGTGCTTCTCCTAATAAACTGTTCTAGAATCTAAGCTGAGATGAGAAAATAGTTGGAAAGTTTCTGAGGTTTCCTTAATTTAGCCTAGTATTAAGTGCAGCCTTTTTTGTATGAATATGCTGAAAAATTGTAAATGTCAGGGTGTCAAAGAATAACAAAGACAACATATTGATACTGTGTTGATGAGAATAATACGACTGCATTGTATTTCTTCCTACAGCCCCCCAGCGAGCTGATCGGAAAGTTGTAGAGACAATCGAACAGCTAGTGAATAGCATTGTTTCAGGAACCTTGTCTGCCAAAGAGAGGAACGCTCAGAAGAACTGTCCTGAATATTGGTAGGTGTGTTTGAACAGTGTGTCACAATTCTACTTTCTGCTGAAGATGTTTGGAATATATTTAATTAAATTCAGTATTTCATTCAATGGGTGTGAGATCAAAGCCTATTGTATATTTAATCAGGCTTTTTGAAAATGTCTCCTCAGCTAATTATACTTCCTGAAATCCCTGGAAATTGTCCTGTTTCTGCTGTTTTGTCTAGCAGACCCGTGTTCCTTTTGATCTGTCAATAATGACTGTATGTCAATCCAAATACAAGATGTTAAAAGCAATTTACATTTACCAGATGCAAATGGTAACCCAGTGTCGTTAATGTAAACATACAGTAAGGTAACAGACCTATGGATCTAGTGTTCTGTGGATAATGTTGGAAAGGGAAAGCTCAGACTCTTCCAAGTGTAACGATCTTTTAATGTGACAGCATCTCTTCATGTGTGAATTGCAGCATAGCTGATTAATTACTAGCCAAACGATTTATGTCAAAACCCTCCATCATTTATTTGCTTGGCATAATTGCTGCTTTAGAAGGGGAGTTGGCTGTTATTCTGAGAAAAACCTCTGCAGGCTAACATTAATGTAGCAACTTGTGTAGGCCCCTGGAAAAAAGGATCAGTTGCTACTGAGCTTCTGCTCTGAGAATTTGAGGTTAGTTGTGCTTTCAGGTTAGGCTTTCATTTTATTTATATGATTTTATTTAGGTTCTTGTCTGATGAAGATAGTCTGGAATACAAGTATTACCGACTGAAGTTATCGGAGATGCAGAGGCGGACATCATCTGGAAAGGAAGCGGGTGCTGAGGGCAGAACACTAGAAGAATCTGCAACAGAATCAGTCAGGGCCATGTTGTATGCCAGGAAAGTCGCGAGTATTAAGAGAAGGCTCTTTAAAAGAAAAAGGCTTGGAATTATCACACACCATGGCGTTCGAGGAAGGAAGGTGAGGAGAGCCACCATAGGGACACAGACTGTGCTTTCAGCTGGTACGGTGCTGAAGCACCAAGAGAAGCATCTTCAAGGTTCAGTCCAGTCGAAGCCTTCTGTATCAGAAACCAGCCTGTCTGAGAAGAATTCCTCCCTCGATACAACCTCATCCTCACAATGTGCCACCAGTTCCGAGGCCTTCCTGCCAGCAGAAGAAAGGGCAGATTCTGAGGATTTATTAACACCACCTGAACTTTTCCCACCGTTGTCCTCTCAGTTTCCTGACGGTAAGTGAAGATTCAATATTCGATTTTAAGTTACAAATTATGTGAGGAAAAAAAATGCATAGAATGTTCTGCTGGAAGTTCTAAAAATTGTTTATTTTGCTAAAGTAGATATTTCTTGACTACATTGACCTTCCAGTGAGTGACGCAGATTTTGCAGGAAGCTATAGCTAACGAGCGTTCTGTTTCTTGCAGTGGATGCTAAAACAATGGAGACTGCTGAGAAGCTTGCCAAGTTTGTTGCTCAGGTAGGACCAGAAATTGAGCAGTTCAGCATAGACAACAGTGCAGATAACCCAGATCTTTGGTGAGTAACCTACACATTTATCTGTGTAAATGGGCCAATAGTAAAAATCAAAATACATCTAAACAATTACTGAAGAGGTATTTCCTTATATTGTTTGTTGAGATCTATGCTTTTATTCAGTGCATTTAGGAACAGAGGATTTTGAGCAACGCTCCCTGTTGTCCTGCTCAGCACCTCCATTAATGGTGAATATCTGAAATACCTAAGAAAAAAACCCACTTCTCCCAAATGTGTACATGCACTGATATGTATATTTTTTCTTCTACACCTTAAGTAATCAGCTTGCATCTTGAAACAGTGTTCTGCCAAAGTCTTTTCAATCTTGCTGGTTTTTTTAAGTGAGGCTTTGATTACAATGGCCTAAGTGCTTGAGCGTGAATTAGCAGGTTTTTTTCTTTTAGTCATACTCTGCCAACAGAAGTGGAGCCCTTTTATCTCTTCCGTCTCAGAATCAATGCACCTATTTCCACATAGGCCTCATGACTGAAATTTGGAAGACCCGAATTCTCTTCTTGGGTTTACCATTGCCTTCTGGGTCATCCAGAGCTAGCATCTTGTCTTGGTTTCTCCATCTACATAATGAGGAAAATTATACTGAATGCTTTACAACGCAGGTTGAGAGGTGCTGATAAAAAGCAGCCTGTAAGAACTGAGGAGAATGATCACTGGGTTTAGTACACGTTGTTGGGGAATCCTACAGTTCTACAAAACCATACCTGGAATGACCAGTCAAAAATTAATAAGATATTTCTTTCTAATGTCTTGCTTCGTGCTACCTGAATCTCTTTCTGATATTATTTTCACTGTAATTTTTGCTCAGGTTTCTACAGGATCGAAACAGTTCTGCTTTCAAATTTTACCGAATGAAAGTCTATGAGTTATGTCCATCCATTAACTTCAGTGCTGTGGCAGAAGCAACTGATGCTGGGGAAGGTGCCAAACCTGAAGAGAGAAATTTGGATATTTCAGAAGAGGACGAGGATGAAGAAGAAGAGGAAGAAGATAATGAGGAGGAAGCTGAGTTTGAGGAGGATAGCTCCCAGCCTTTGGAAGAAATGGAAATGGAGCAAGCAGAGGAGGGAGAAGAGGATGACATGTCAGCAGGTAGAAGTGTGGAAAGCCTAGCTGAAGAGATGATTTCCAAAACAGGAGAGGAAATTTCAGCAGGTGAAATGCAGCTAGCCACATCATCTGATGGTGCTATACCAAATCTGTCGACACAGGCATCAACTCCTGCTCCTGGTACCCTATTTCCTCGCAAACGAATCAGCAGCAAGTCTCTGAAAGTTGGTATGATTCCTGCATCTAAAAGGATTTGCCTCATAGAAGAACCAAAAGGTGAGTGTTACTTAAAAAGATATTTTGTAGGTATCAGTACAGAATTCCCGGTTCTTATGTACTTTGTTACTGACTGTTATTGGCTAAAAGAACTACATTTCTTTAATACAAAAATGAATACAATGTTCACTTTAAAGTTCAGTCAACTGACAAAGGAGAATCTGAATGAACTGTAACAGTTTTTGAATTATAGTGCAATAGCAAAGGTTGCGTCAAACATTGTTCCTCAAACATTCTCTAAGTGTATGTGAATGTTAACCTCTGTCTGCTGCTTAAAAACCTCACAGTAATACTTTTTGCGGGGTTTAGTTCATCAGGGTATGGAAGGTTTAACAGACTTAAGTAGAGCGCCAAACATGTTTTGAGTGTTTGATTAAATATATTTAGACTTTGATTGGCCTGTCAAATTTTGTCAATATGGCCACAGCAGGGATGGGTCATGATATTCTAAGAATTGAGAGTTAAGTAGCTCAAAACTGATTCTCTGTGCTCTGTGGCTACTTTAACAAATGTCTTGCCTTTGCATAATGATTTTTATTGGTGAAGGTTGTCACTTGTGATGTGCAGATGATGTACAAGAGCCTCATTTAAGTCCAGTCTCGATTTTCTATCAGAGTATTGCAGAAGCTTGGGGAAATGAAAGACCTGAAGTCCTTGCAGGATGTCATCCATCAGTGTGTTGCTGGCATGACATGTCCAGAAGTAAAAACATGCGTGTACTCGTTACCTTTTTTGTGGTGGAGGGGAAAACAAGGTCTAGCATTTCTTTTCTTTTTTTTTTTTTTTTTTTATTTTGGTCTTTCTTGTTGATTCTGATTTTAGGCCAAGGCACTGAGTTAGAGTCCCACTTGACATGTACTTTTGGAGTTCTGTATTAAAATACAGCTGAATTTTGTCTTTTGATTTGACTTGCAGTGCATGAACCTGTCAGAATTGCTTATGATAGGCCTCGTGGTTGCCCAGTTACAAAGAAGAAGAAGGTAAAGAACTCTTCTGGTTTGCCACTGCATTCTGAGAATCAACTGTATTTACAAGAGGTAGCCTCTGAAAATGTGTTACTGTCATAAAATTGAATTAAAACCTGAAGAGCCTGATCCTGAAAAAGAGTGGACTAAACCTGAGAAGAGCCATGGCTCCTGTTGTCTTTTAACTACCTGTGTCAAAATTAAATATTTTATCATTAGAGCACTATTGAACAGCTGTGCGTTAATCTTCTATTTAAAAAAGCCCAAAGAAATCAGTGCATTGCTGTCTAGAAAATCTGTTGTAATTTTCCAGAATTGGTGAGATGTTATTTGACTGCTTCTGTATTTGTAGTAGGGATTCGGTCATCAGATCATTCAGTATTTGTTACTAAAAAACATAAATACCTTTTAAAATACGAAGGTGTACTCTTTGCTATTTTAGTAATGTAATTAAGCAGTGTGAGAACCTGAAATAATTTTCTTTTATTTTTACTTCAAAGTGGCAAGGCAGATATTTACTCTCTTAGGTAGACTTTTTCTGTGTAGCTAGAGAAATGCTGCTTAGAAGATGTTTCTATATATCTGGAAATTCAAACACACTTTATAGGGTTTGGGGGGGGGGGTTGATGGATTTCTAATACATGATCTCCCTGTATAACAAAATTCCCTTTGTTTTTCTGTTTCTTTTCCTCTCCACAGAAACCAAAAGATTTAGAATTTTCACACAAGAAACTGACGAACAGGAACGTGGGTTTCCAGATGCTCCAGAAGATGGGCTGGCAAGAAGGACATGGCCTTGGTACACGAGGAAGAGGAATCAGAGAGCCTGTAAAAGTGTATGTAATGGGAACACACTACAGAAATTTGACAGCTCTGGAAAGGGCTGGGATTCTAATAGCAACTGTTTCTCTAACCCACCTAGATGGGCCCAGTTCACTGTGTTGTTTCCTTCTTGACGTTGGCCTCTGGCCTCAGCAAAGTTGAGTGTGGAGACTTCACGCATTTTTTCTGGCCAGGCCAGGCAAAACCTGGTCTGGAAGCTGGCTGTTTCTTGCCATCCAATTTGACGTCACTGCGGGCTGCAGTGTGCGGACACTATAAAGAAACACAGGTGCCCCTGTTCCTCAGGAGGTGTTTTTTGTTGTTTGGTGTATTTAGGGGTTTTTTAACACATAGTATTATCCTGGGGATCTCCTTGCTACCACGCCAGGTACATAATATATAAAGAGACCTTAGGAATGTCATACACAATACTCCTAGGTTTAGGCAACAAATTTCTTTTCACTCTAATTATGTGATTCATTCCACTGCATACTGGAAGGGGTAAGTGCATCTGCCAGAAGGTAAGTGTGCTTTTTCCTTTAAAATACACTTTTAGTTTTGAATCTTCATTTTGTCTTTTAAAGTTGCTGTATCCAGCGTCCACTGCTGCCAGCACGGAGAATGGATAATACCTCCTTCAACTCCCTGACTGAAAAACGAGGCAGAAACTATTTATTTCTCTCTGAACCCATAGGAGAAGCTTTCCAATCCACACACATAGTCTGTGGTTTAACAGTCTTTTTTTTCTCCAGTGATTTCTATTTTCTCTTCATGCCTTGGACAGTATTGGTCATTTTAGTTGGTGGGATACTTCTGGTTGGTTGCTTTCATTTTGCCTCGGTGCTCCCTGTGGTCCAGTGACCATCACTATTTTTTCTATATTTCCTTCTTCAGCAACAAACGGACAATGAGAAAGCCGCTTACTTCGCCTGTAGCTCTCTTGTGTTCACCAGTGTTAGAACCTTGGTTCTTAACCTCAGAACTTGTTGGGACCAAATAAATGAGTAATGTTTTTGTTTCTGTAGCTCCTGGCACAAGTTTTGCTGCACGAGCTGTTTAATTGTATCTGGTCTGACAGTTAGCCCGCCACATTCTAGAAGTTTCTGGCCATCTTTAGGAATTGCTTTTTAATATGTGAAAATACAGTTTTTCCAGCTTGAGTCCATGGCTCTGTTGCTCTTATAAAAACACCTGCAAAGAGTAGCGAAGAACTGCTTTCTGTACCTCCTACAAAAGCTTGTTGACCTTTTCTGAAACGGAGAGAGAACTCCATATTACTGATTATTTTCACGGTGTGCACCTCTCTTTACTTTCCCATCAAAGTAATTCTTTGCACAGTACTTTGGGACAATCTCAGTGAGGGTAAAACCAGTGCAATTTAACATTTTGCTTTCTCATTAGTTGCTTTGATACAGTGCAGCATTTTTTTTCATTTAGTGATCTGTAGCCTCTTTCCTCCCCTTTTGAAAACTACCAGCTCTTCTGCTGATGACTTGTTTAAAAGCCCACGTGCTGTCTAATCTCATTCTCTGAGCAAAAGGGGATGGATTAATAATTGGAGACACTCCAGTTCTAGGGTAAAGCATATCTTGATCATTATACGATGTATCTAAAACTGGTGTATTCAAGCACACCAGTTGTTACACAAAGCGACTTGAGGCCCTGTTTTGTTAGGAGAGTCTGAAGCTTGGCTTTGGCTGTGAAAGCAAGTCGTGTTTGCAGGTCTGAGGAGATTTTTGTTTATGTTGCTGTAAAAGATAATGTGAATTGCATGGTGACTCCTTATGGAAATGATGGGTCCAGAAATTTTAAATGGAGTTTCACGTTGGTCACGTTCCCTGTCTTGAGAACTAATTTGTCACAGCTATGGCTCTGATCAATTCTACAGTTCAAGAGGTGTTTTAAAAAAAAAAAAAAGGCAACAAACCAAAACACACTCAAAGGCAGAACATTGTTATGGGACAGACCCTCCTCTGAGTAATTATCTCATGTCTTTAATTAGTTTTTTTATGCTGAAAGTAATCTAGAAGAGGAATTGTGGTGTAAATAGAAAAAAAAAAACAACTGTGTTCCTTCTGTTTGGAAGTATGAAGCAGCTGTTGTGTAATGGAAACAGCAAATGAAGAGAGTCTGCTTCAAACAGGTCATACTACAAAATGTGAAAAAAGCACCGTTTTGGGAGGTCTTTTAGGTGGCTTTGCTTCTAACCGTAATTAAAAACGTAACTTAACTTGATCATACAGCTGCCAGGTCAGACTCTGTACCATTTGGAAGAAAAAACAGCACCCAGGGTTTCTACTGTGCACTGTAAAGTTGAATTTGGTTTTTAGAGTCAGTGAATATTCTTTCAGAATTGCACAACAATCTACTTGGCTTAAGAGGACCTATTATTGCAGAAATTGCATAAGAATAATTTTTCTTTGTTCTACTTAAGGCCCTCAGATTTTACCCTGATAGCACTGAAAGCCTGATTTCAGTACATGGGGCAATCTAAATTTTCTTACTTCAGGTAACGAAATCTTTCATAGAGAATACGAATGTAACTGACTTGGAGGATAAAACTGGCACAGGGGTTCATTCCTGTGGCAGAGGTTTCATTAATCCTAGCTTTGTAATGTCTATGTTCTATGCACGTAGCCTGGAGAAAGAGACAGGGTTTGATTGTATCTCTGCATTCTTGTGGGTCATCCTCTCCCTCTACTTCCACGGCAGAGAGTTGTTTTGATATTGTTGAGGCCTGTCTGCTTCTCTTGGCATGTCTGGATGAAGAGAGATGAGTTAATGACTCATTTTTCCTGGAAGGGCAGGAGCTCCAGGTTTTGTCTATGGTGTGTGTCCTACAAGACTTCAGCTTGCTTTGGGTGCTAGAAATTTTAAGCAAGCAGCATTATGTTCCCTTGGTAAAAATTTCATCTCTCATCCAGAGTTGTGTGATGTTTCCTACTCATTCCTCAAAGTCTCTGACTTCTGTCATTTTTTAAATGGAAGAAATAAGGCAATTTTTGCCATCTTTTCACCAGAGGATCCCATTTACCATGAATAAAGTGGTTAATACAAGAGTTCACATAAGAATTCAATCTGTCAGAAGCTTGTATCTTCACTGCTCCCTTAATGTCATAGGAGCATTTTCTTCTGGTGGGTATTTGCATGCGTAATGGGAGGTGGGAATTGTTTTATAGTTGATCTTGTATGCCAGGTACCAAGCCTCCGCTCCCCATCTCAAATGAAGCAGAATTACTCTCCACTTGAATTGTGTCTGTGTTGGGAGCTATTGTTTAGATCTCTTCTGCACATTGTCAAATGTAACAGAAACAGAGTGTTCTAACTATTCATTTTACTCCCTAGGGGTGCTACCTCTGCAGGGGAGGGCTTGGGTGTTGCAGGGGAAGAAAATAAAGAAGATGCATTTGATGTTTTCCGTCAAAGAATGATACAAATGTACAGGCAGAAAAGAGCAAGTAAATAGGTATGTGCAATGGACACGTCTGGTTTATGAATTCCTGCAAACATTAAAATACCAGGGGTTTTTAAGTCTTCCTTTACCAAGAAAATATTGCTGTTCCCATGCGTATATCTGGCTTCTTAACATTTCATGAAAATCCAGACCTATGTTGAACTGCTTTGAACTGCTGAATTACCCCAAATCTTACTTTCTAGGTTTGACATAAGAGACTCGCTCGCTAGAAAGTGCACGGATATGCAAAGGCTGCTGTGTGAGAGATCTTCGGCAGAGTATGCCAGTATGAAGAACACTGTGTTCTATAGTAGTGGACTTGAATACTAATGTATTAAAACATTTTCCAAGATTAAAGTTAGTCTTGTGTTTAATTGTGCAAGCTAACAACTTGGATGTCATCTTCTGAGGAAGAAACAACTGATTTTGTTCTCGGAAGTGCCTGTTTACCTCTCTCTTTGGCCAAGTTTGCCTGTTTTGTGATGAGATGGCTTACCAAAAAACGGAATAAGCGACATGAAAAATATGACTAGCCTCGTTTGGCTCTGATCCTTTCTGAAGCCAAGAATCTTCTCAAATTCAGATCTTCTTGCAAGGCAGTTCAGATTTTATTTTACTACATTTTACTGATGGGCTAATCTTCTGATCTGCTTCTGGAGCCTAAAGCAGTTTCCTTTCCTCCACACACCAATTTTAAGAAGATTCTCTACCTGCGTGCTTATTTTGTATAGGATTCTAGCCTTTAGGTGTAGTTAAACTGAGTTCATCTGAGTCTGAGAACACTAAACTCTTCCTTGAAAACCTCAGCTGCTAAGGTTTTTCATTGTAATGAACAAGTAGTGCATATTTTCAGTGTACTTTTTGGTTTTACACAAATTTGCAGCTCTTCTCCAACAAATTCTTGAATAATTTCTTTCCTTCTCGAAGAAGTTTAAGCCAGGAGCAGATGCAATTCATGTGTCTGCAGAAGATACTGAAGAAAATACTTGGAAGTCAGATACTCAGAAGTCATCTGGGAGTGGATCATCAGTGTTATAAGACCATCAGTTTAGAGTTTCTATTTCTGTTTCTATTAAATATTTGTTTTGCAGAAGTTCTTTTATTAAAAAATCCCAAGACATAAGACAAAAAGCTTGTACTTCTGAGGGACTATTCCAGAATTTACTGAAAGAGAAGACTGGATTCATCTCCTTCAACAAAAAGCATTACCTAGCTGCTTGGTGAAGCAGTTCTGAGCAGTTCTGACATGAAAGATTTAGCAGTGTTACCACAAAGAAACGTTCAAGGTCTGATCACTCATCTTTTCCTGACTTGCACTTCAATAAGGGATCCAGGACTGGATTTCCAAAAGGGACAGAATTTAATAACGCACTTTTTAGTGTACTCATTCTCCATCATTACCTTTCTAAAAGTAGTCAAAAGTCTTCACTTGAACGTTACAGTACCAAAACCGACTTCACTGACGTTTTCTTTAAAGAGTTTATCTTGAGCTGATGCATGTTTCGCTTGCTCGGAGTGAGTGCTGTCTTGCTGTTGTTTTCATCCTGCACCTTTCTTGTAGAGCAAAGAGCTTGTGGTACACCACTAATAGCACCCCACAGTAACGTGGCAGCATCTCAAGTTCCTAACTGACAAATATGCAAGAAAATGTGTTCTTCAGTTATCAACTTGCCTGTGCCTGCTGTTTAAAGAACAAAATTATATTCTTTCTCCATTAGAAACCCTGCTGGTCGAAAGGGAGCGTCTCCATTTTCATTCTGTAGCAACAAACCTTTCCTTGCTTGTAACAACCAGTTTTAGTTCGTGAATGCAAGGGTTTGGGTTTTTTTTTTCTTTACTGTATGCAGCTTTGAAACCATGAGAAACCAAATCATGTCGCAGTGTAATTTTGTGATCGCTCAGTTTTAGTCACCTGGAAGCAGATATCACTAAATAAACTCATGATGGCAGGTATAGAAAAATAGGCTGGTAGTTCTGTTTTACCATGAACATCACACATGTCTTCACCTTTAGATGACAAGAAGTTGAAGTGTGAAGGCTGTAAATACAAATAAATGTGGCTGGTTGTCACACTTGCTTAAGGACATTTCCTAGCCCAGACGTTTCTCATAGGCTTTACATGGAGATGTTTAAAATCCTTAAACGTTTTGGACCACAAACTACGGGAAAGATCATCACTTACAGCCTTTGGCAGCCTATGCTTACCTGTTAAGTTCCTATTTGGGTGTTTTCTTCACGCCCCTCTTTCTTTCCTGTGCCTAGTTAGCAGTTACACAGTGTAAAACCTGAGCCTTTCCAAACGGAGCTCTACCAGTCATAGGCTGGTTTGAATGCCACCCTGGAACCAGTATGATTGGCCTCTGATTTATTTCTCAGACCCACTCACAGGGCTTAGCTTTTCTTTACGTTTCATCAATGAAGCTGCCAGTGTTGCTGTTCACAATTTTTATTTCCCTGCAAACTTCCAGTTCACCTCTTCTTTCACGTTTACATTTTGGAAGGATTCTTGATTATACTGACACTTATTTTGCAGAAAGGCACAAGGCGAAGTGGAGCTTCGCACTAGATTGAAATCGGCTTTCTCAAACCCAGATCAGCATTCTGCGCTGCTCTGATTTAAGCTGGGTTTGTTGGGCACAGCACCATCCGGGGCGCACTTGCTGACCACCCGCTTACCCAGTCTGGGAAAATTGTTGGTATCCAGACTGGAAAATGGTACCGTCCTTTCTGAGTGCAATTCGATTTAGAGTATAACGCTGAGCTGAGAATAAAGGTGAACACTGGGAAAATCTTAACCTGCGACCCTGGAAGACTGTAGTGTGGTCTGTCCTTCTTGTGCCAAGCTTTCATTTTGGACAAGATATCAGCAGAGCAGTACCGGTGCTGAGATTCCAGTGTTGCTCTCAAGTGGGTTACTGTTTGCCACTTTTATCTTGTTTTACCAAGAGATGACCTTACGCTCCTTTTGCAAAAGGAATTTCCTTTTATTTTGACCTGCTTTTGCAGGCAGCTCTGATTTGAAAATTTTAAATACTTGTACATGTGAAACATTTGTTATGCAGATGCATTGCCTTGTTTCAAGTTTACTAGCTTCTTTTCTGTTATTTTAGTTCCAGGCTCTCTTCCATGAAGACTGCAAGCTTCAGTGAACATTTTAACTAACTTCAGTGGTGTGTCTACTGTCTTTTGGTTGGGTTTTGCCATTAATCTTGTAGAGCAATTTGCTAGTTTCTGTTCCGTGCAAATTGGCAGTAGTGCTAAGCTAGTAACGATTAGATGTTTATGTTATTGGGTAACTGACATTTCTTTTTAGTGTAAGTAAACATGTTAGCATTGTTAATCTTTTAATATCGGCAATAAATGTAGACCGAAACGATTTCTGGTTTAAATGTTTTGCTTGTGAATTTGGCCATTTGTAAGAGATATGCATCATTTTGGCACTAACAAGTGGAATTGAGATTACGCAGTGTTACATTAGTGTAAAGCAGGATTTTATAGTGTACAAGGGAGGGAAGGTCCCTCTGTTGCTGTGCTGCTAAATGTCTCTGTTGAGAATCCCCACTAAATCACTTCTTAGTTACTTTTTCATGTGGCTCCTAGTGCATTAAATCCATTCACGACAGTGTTACTTCCCACATGAACGCCGAAACCGTTGTGCCCCCGTCAGCGAGCGAGAGTTTTACCCTTCGTTCACATATCCCCGGAATTAGTTGTCTCCCTGATTTTCTTGGTGTACTGACTTGAAAACGGCAAAACTTTCTCTTTACATATGTGTGTGGTTTACTGTTGCCTTTAAATTCCAATTCCTTTTTTAGACAGGATATGAGGGGGAAAATTGCAACGAACTGAAATTTAACACTTGTGCAGCCGCCTTCTATCGAGAGGTAAAGTGAGAGTGTTCATTTGCGAAAGATAACCAGGTCTCCTCTCCCTTGCTTTTATACTGACAGCTAGGAGAAGCTTTACAGAGGCAGGTTCAAGCCCTGGCTACACCTTTTTCCTCCTTTTCCTTCAAAAATTTGTGATATGTAAGGACCTGGTTCTAGAAGAAAGGACATTTGCTCTCGTTGGAGAGAAATGAGGAGATCCCCATTTTGGGGGAGGTGCCCTAACAGTAAGAGAACTACAGTCAGTAATACACTGCTTGGAGTAATTGTGTTGGGCTAAAAGAGGTGGGGTTTTCTTTATTTTTTTTGCCTTCAGAGCTTTTCTTTGGTGTGACACCAGTGGCATTTTTTCTATTTATTTTTTTCTGGGTTTTTTAGAAGACACTACAGCATCCTTAGTGTGAACACTGTATCTGTGCTGAGATGTTACTTCTCAAAATCAATGTACAGTATTTTTTTCTATTGCTATTCCATTCTGCTTTGAAGTGAATCCCGACGTATCGTGCCCAAAGAAAGTCTGGACTCAGAAATTCAAATATTGTTATTTTAGATTGTTTTCTGCCCTACAAGCAGGTATATTTTCTAATTAAAAATGAATTCCTGAAAGTCCTGTATCATCTTTAATTCTGCATATCTCATGACTGAGTGGCCAATCACAACCAGACTGTAGATTTGAGCAATAATAAACACCTTCAGTGAGAACATGCTCAAAGAACAATAGGGTACTTCTGAAATAAATAGTTTTTGTGAACCTTGTTAAGTAGGTAACTTGCTGAATTGCAGCAAGTGTGGAAAATGTTTGCATTATCTGTGGGCAATAAAGTTACTGCTGTTTAAGAAAGCGCTAGCACACAGTGTGTTCTCTGTGGCTTTTTGTGCCTAATTCGTGTCATTAGAAGGTTGTGCTAATTTCCTGGAAAATTATTTCCGAGGCAAGACTTTGCTTTGAAGGGGAAGTCGTGTTTCGTTATCCTGCCACTAGGTAATAAAGCAATAATAAAGCAGCAAATACAAAGCAAATTAGACTAGATTTAAGGAAGAAATTCTTTACAATAAGGGCGGTGAAGCACTGGCAGGGGTTGCCCGGAGAGGGGGTGGAGGCCCCATCCCTGGGAACATTCCAGGCCAGGTTGGACGGGGCTGTGAGCAACCTGATGTGGTTCAAGGTGTCCCTGCTCCTGCAGGGGGGTTGGGCTGGGTGACCTCTGGGGGACCCTTCCCACCCAAACCATTCTGTGATTCTATTGTATAAAATCTGATTTTTAAAACAGCTGCCTCTTTGGCAGAAGGTCATTGTAGACTGTTTGCTTCGTGGGGTTAACAAAAGTTCTGTCTTTGAACAGTTTGCAAGACCTAGTTCAGAAACCGGAACTATTGTTGGATGAGAAATAAGAATTTTGAAAAACCTAAAATGAGAGATCATTAAGAGGTCAAACAACACAAACATGAAAAGAGAATCCGTAAGTTCTGGCTTTATTTGATGCCTTACCAGTTACTGTGTGTTCTTTACTGATGTCAGCGGGAGGAAGGGCAGCAGAGGGAGTTCTGCAAAGTTCTCACTTGCTGTGCACACCGAGCACTGAAAAATCCATGGTTTATTGTACTGTTTGATCCTGGGAATTAAATCCAAGTCACTGTGAGAGCGCGGATCAGTTCTCATGTAATTTACGTGCACTTCCCTAACTCACAAAAATGCACATAAATACTGAGGATAAGTCGTTCAGGGGTTTAGTAATTTGTCGCAGAGAAAAGCAAGCATTTCTCCAGTGTATCTGCAGTAGCTTCCATGCGCTGGGCCCGCCACGGCTGTCTAGTGAGAAGCCAACTGTTAGGCCAGGCAGTGGGTGAGGTTTAGGCTGAGCAGCAGGTGAGGTTTAGGCCAGGCAGTGGATGAGGTTTAGGTCAGGCAGTGGATGAGGCTTAGGCCAGGCAGTGGGGCAAGGTTTAGCCTAGGCAGTGGGTGAGGCTTAGGCCAGGCAGTGGTGAGGTTTAGGCCAGGCAGTGGGTGAGGCTTAGGCCAGGCAGCGGGCGAGGCTTAGGCTGGGCAGCGGGGCAAGGTTTAGGCTGGGCAGCGGGCGAGGCTTAGGCTGGGCAGCTGGTGAGACGGGCTTCCCTGTGAAGCCAGGAGAATGGTTTTGTTCGATTTCCCTTCAGGTCTCCGTGCAGCCCCCAGCCC